ATACTGAAGTGCTCTTTTTGTTGCTTTTTCTCGAGTATCTGATGTTCATAACTGTCACAGTTTGTAAAGAAGCATATTTAGTTTTTGTTTGCCTGGTTTAGCCAGAAGGCATCTATTTCAGAGTTAAAGGCCTCATTAGATGAAGAACGTGATCAAAGAAGAGAAGAACGAGAAAAGGCTGTAGAAGATCTGAAGATCTCAATACAAAGAATCCAGGCTGAGGCACAGGAGGAAATGAAACGATTGTCAGATGCTGCAGCAAAACGGGAAAAGGAACAGCAGGAAGTGATTAATAAGCTCCAGGTGCAAACATTATCTCTAGACTGCAGATTTTTTTGAATTTGGTGTAATATTTCTTAGCTCCATTCTTTTTAGTTATGTTGGTATCACCGCCTTTTTTTTTTATTTTAATTTCAGGAATCAGAGAAAGAAAGGTGCTCTTTGATGGAGACTTTAAGATCCAAATTGGTACTCTTTTTGTTAATTCATTATGAGAAGCAGTTACCATCATCTCGTGCAGCAATCTTATTCTTCTTCTATTTGTGTGTCTTATCACTGCCTTTAGTTTAAAACAAAAAAAAAATCTTATGTGATTCTGGTAATTGGTTGTTTTGAACAGGAAGACACAAGGGAGAAACTGGTTATGTCTGAGAATAAAGTTCGCCAATTAGAAGCTCAAGTTCGTGAGGAGCAACTAGCGGCTGCTACTAGAAGAAAGGTATGGTTGGCCCCCAGATCTGAAGACAAAATTTCTTGAACACATGCAGCTGACTTTTGTCTTGGTTTCCAATTTTATAAGCTAATGGTTATACATTTTCTTCTTGTAAATCTGCAGAGAGTGGAGGAACTTGAGCTGGATACCAAGAGATTAAGAAAAGAACTAGAGAGTGAAAAGGTAGGAGCTTGCATCACAAATTTTCTTTCCTTGCATGGAATTACTGTTGTAAATGCCAATATGAGGCTAAGTAAACTACCAACGAATTGGCTTGTGTAAATTCAAGAGCAAAATAACTCGGTTTAGCGTTGCTATGTGGACATTAAAATAAAGGAGTCTATGCTTTACAGAATGGGGCAATTTGGGTCACCGTCTGTTGCAGAAGGTAGAATTTGCGTATGCATGTGGGATGGGATACTTCTACATCTTTCAGTTGAAATGCTCAGGGTAATTCACATAGATTTGGCCTGAAGTAACCTACTGTTGAGAAAAATTTTTATAAACTCTCTGAACAGTTCTCGCAAAGGTGACTGCATTTTGATGAAGTTGTTCTATTTGCTTCTTTTTTGTTTCCCAAGCTGAGGTTTCTCTTGCTGTTGGTAGCAGGCAGCTCGAGAGGAGGCATGGGCAAAGGTTTCTGCTCTTGAACTAGAGATCAATGCTGCAATGCGAGATCTAGATTTCGAAAGGCGTAGATTAAAAGGTGCTAGAGAGCGAATTATGCTTCGGTAAGAATAGATGAGTTCACTTGCTTATTGGTATTTTAGTTGTCTACCTTTTGAAGTAATTGGATTAATATAAGGGCTTAATTGATGTTTGGCTCTGAAATGACTTAGTAATGTTTTTATATTCTCCTGATGATTAGGTGACTTTTTTCTTTGGGTTGATATTGGGATGAAATTAAGTATCCATTTTTTGCCTATGGTAGAATTTATTGAGACTTAAAACTAAATTACCCTTTTAAAAACTGGAGAAGATGTTGCATATAGTGGGAAGTAGGTTTGCATTGCAAGTTACTTTTTGGCTTGGTAGCCATTCATGTTGTACTGTGGTGCATATAAGTTAATTCACATGCTCTGTCACATAAAGTTTTGACTCCTTCCAACAGCACAAGTGATTTATTTTCCAAGCATCCCGACTCTTTTAATTCCTTTATACCCTCCTTTTACTCTTCTTGAAGGTTCACTGCGCATTTTGTTCATTCTTTGACAAAATCCAAAATAAAAAAATAACGTGCTAAGTTTCACAATGTTTACTTTCCAAAATCAATCCTTTTGTGTTGTCTGGGATTAGAGTAGTATGTTGACTGCCAGCACTACATTTTTCTTGTTTTGAAAAGTTGTAACTTTGAAAGCTTTTAAATGAATCATTTATATGTTTCTTCTATGACCCTGGAAGAAGTGGCTGGAGTACCACCATCCTAGCAAGGGAACTCAGCTAGTTTGTCAAGGAACTTGTGTGTAGCTTGCATCCGTAAATATTTATGCATGTGTTTTGTGTTATGATCATGGGTATCTTTCCAATTAAGTCTGCAAATACTGGAAACAGTATCAGTTGACGACAATGATTTTAAAGAATATTGCTTTTCATTTTTCTATTAGGAAGCTGTTGCTGTCTCATTAAGGATGCCATATTCTTCTTGGGTATGACAGGATTGTAACTGGTTTTATTTCTTATTTCCTTTTTTGGGTAAATCCAAAATTTGTTGGGGCAGTTATTTCACATGCTAGATTAGCAGTTTCAGTAGTTTAATGCCTCTGCGCTGCCCTCAGCGCCCTTCCATTTAGCAAGTCTGCACGTTTTTATATTATTCACTGTTGTTATTTAATGTTTAAGTTGCAATGGGTCTCTGAATTTTACTGGGGTTTTGGACGCAATGGTATGAGTGCTTTTACCTTGTAATCTTTTGAAATGGCTAACCTTGCATAATTTTATGTGCCCTGCCTGTGAACCTGATAATTTGTTCATGTAATTTGGATTTGATACTCTGAAGTTCGGTAATACGTTCTAATTTAAATGGTGCGTACAATGTGCATGTTTTCATGTAGAGAAACCCAACTCCGGGCTTTTTATTCTACAACGGAAGAGATTCAAGTCCTGTTTGTAAAGCAGCAGGAACAGCTAAAGGCAATGCAGCGGACATTAGAAGATGAAGAAAATTACGAGAATACATCCATCGATGTGGACCTGAACCTACCTAATGGCCACATTCAAAGATTTCTAAGTAGAGACAAGGAAGTATATCAGAGTGCTGCTAAGGGGGAATCGAGTACCTCTACCCAAAGGTATGGTAGAGATCACAATGAGACGTCAAGCGATGAAGTCAGTGTAACCGAGAAGCATGACTGCAATATGAAAATACATGGTAATGACGATGACACACAGGAGGTGGAATTCAGTGGTGCTCAACATTCTGTCAAGGGTGGCTTTGGTTCTGAGATTGATGGTGTTGGGGCAGCACGTATTCTAGAGGGGGATCCTGTTGGGACTGAGAAAAATCTCGAAACTGATGGCATAGGAACATTGGCTGTTTCGGTGGGAGACGTTGTTGCAACTGAAAGAATCCTTGAGACTGAAAGTCCTGGACAAAATCGTGGTGGTGGCTTTGATTTAAACAAGTGTGGGGCACTGGGAGAGGACACAATGCAATTAGAAGATGAAACAAATGGAGAAGCTATGTGGCAGGCTGAAATGGTTCCTTCGGGAAGCTTGCATCATTCTCAGTGCAATAACCCTCTTGAGGTTGAGAACACTATCTTGGACACGCAAACTGGAGATAGCATTAAAACTGCAGATCTATTGGCTTCGGAGGTTCCTGGGAGCTGGGCTTACAGTACAGCTCCTTCAGTCCATGGAGAGAATGATACTCCAAAGAGCAAAGATAATGATGATGGAGCTGCTGCTACCTTGCATGACTCAGTGTGTGTGATAGCTGAGAGTCAAAATGTCCCATCTTCCAAGAGTCTTGGTGCTAGATGGAACAAAGAACATGAGGCTCTCAGTAAAATGATTGGGATTGTGGCACCGGATTTGAAGGAGCAGTTTAGATGTGCTGCAGGAAGCAATTATATCAAAGAGGGAGCCGAAAGAGGAGATGTTTCCGACTCCAATACAGACGGTTGCTATGATGATGATAACCACGAAGCAAACTCTGAAGGTGAATCAGATGCAGAGACGATTGGCGGTGGTGGAGAAAAGGAGGATCTAGAATCTGATCATGGAATGGAAGAAGATGATGAAGCTACGCAGGATGATTCTTATGGATAACTGAAGCATGATCGTTGCAGAGAACAGCTTTTCCTAGCCAGGATGGGCAAAGAGAACATATACCTCTCCTTGTTCACCATGACTACAACTCATCAGTTTGTATAGAAGAAAAAGTGTATGATAGCTCTGAATTCTCGTTGCAAAGGTTTCCTCTAGGATGTCAGATTTATTAGGATTGTAAATAGTAGTGATCTAACTTAATTTGGAAATGATATGGTTTACTTGCCAAGTTAAGAAAGCTCCCTACGTTTCTGAGATTGTTCTTCTCGTAACAGCCATTTCTGTGAGGCAGTAAAGTTCATATTCAATTTGGTAAGTTCCTTTTTCATCTGATACAGAGAATGAGCACAACTATTCTCGTCATGAACAGTAGACGTAAACAAATGAAGTATTCTTGTTACTCTGGATTTTCCTTCGTTAACTGGAACAACTTTGTCTGGTTTTAAGCCTTTTTCCGACTGGCTGGTGGTTTTAAGCCTCTTAAGGGTATGAAATATAATAAGTACGTTACCCGCTAACCCTAGGGGCGTATGGTATAGGTAATTTAGAGACCTCTCGAGCTATTATTCATGGCTGTATTCTGGGATCATACCATCTACAGATTCAAGTAGTTACTTTCAACCTAATAGCGGCCCCAACAGTCCAAGCTTATGGTATTTGCTTGCGCAATATCAGACTCGAGTAGTTACTATTTTAAAGCTAAAGTGGAAAAAGAAACAAGAAAGTACGACTTTTCGTGGATGGAAGAAGAACCGGAGTTACACAACTAGAAACTATTTGTTTCAGAAAAAAAGAGAGAAAATCACGATCCAGTTAAGCTTCTTGGAAGTTTATCCACGTCCTTATCATGTCGTTATACACTGTGTGAACTCGGAAGTGGACTAATGTGTCAACTGTGCTGCAAAATCCATGTCCTCCTTTCCTCCTTTTTGGACCCTTGACCATATTTGTCCAGGCCTACTTTGAATAATGCGTTGTTTTCACCATATATCATCATGACTGCTGTTGAAACCGGGGTTGGATTAAAGATGCAGGAAGTAACACCCAAATTGTAATTGTCCAGAGATGTCAAAAGGGAAAATTTCTATATTTCGAAAAAAGATGCTTCAAGCTGTAGCTTGAAAGGGTGCATCATGTTTGGTCATTTTCCGTGTGCCCGCCTAAGCTGCTAGCTTAGCCCAGAGTCTTTGGACGGGTAAGAAAGTAAAGGAAAAGGGCCAAAGTCTTTCTTCTTCTTGCTCTTGTTCATCTTCTTGATATGGTCATTGGCTACTTGCAGCTGGCCTTTGTAATCATGAGCCCGTGTGTCATCATTGCTTTGAATAGCCCTTTTATTTCCGCCCTTCTATCCTCCTTTCTCACCAAGGCAATCATCACACGGACATCAAGCAGCCAGCCATGCTTCGTCTCCCTATATAATTCATCTGCATTCAGTTTCAACTCATCTAACAAGAAGTAAAAATTATCCCACTTGGTTTCTTTTACTGTCGACTTTCACTTTCTTTTCTCTACTAGAGGGTTGCTGGCTGCTGCATCGCATTTGAAAAAAAAAAAATCATGTCTTCTAGCCTGTCGAATTTGGAATTATTTCATGATCCCTCTTATCCAACCTTATCAGGGAGATTCCGCTCAATGAGGCCTAAGGTTCTTGTTCACAGGCTAAATAGGTAAGTTCTCACAACCATGCAGCTGAACATGGCATAAAAGACCCTTTTTCTTCCTCTGTGTTCTGTACTAGGTCGTATTTCTAAGAACGTTTGAATGTAACAGGAGTTGGAAGTTGTCGAAGAAAGTAAAAGAAATAACCAGGGCCGGGAAGTTGAAGAGAGAAATGCAAGTCAAGAACATGAAGCTGTACGTGATGAACAAAATCATTGTTGAAGAAAATGAAAGACTTCGGAGGAAAGCTATGACTCTTCTTCAAGAGAACAAGATTTTGCTGGCTCAGTTTCAGAAGCTTCCTCATCCAGATAGTAACACCATCAAATACTAGATACGTTATAGCAATAGCCAATTAGTATATGCTATCTTCTTACAGTTAACATGTTATCTGAAGAAGACGGACTTATATAGACTTTATTCTTTAGTCCTATTGATACAAAAACTTAATTTCATTCCCCTCTTGTTTTCCTCATTTTGGTTTCCTTATGAGAGATTGCATTTTGTTCATTCCACTGTAGTCGTAGTCTGTCAAGAGGTGCAGTAGGACTACTTGCATGAGTCCCCATGCATGGTTTCAAATTCTGAATGTTCCTCCAAAACTGCCTTTCTATTTAAAAAATTCTAATTCAATTAAGAAGATAACTTTGGTAAAAGATCAGAGCTACTGACTACTACTATTCGGTTCAGTTTGCAGCCGTGTTCATCCAGCAGGGAAGAATCAAAGGTTCACAGTTAAGTTGTGTAAAAATTAGAAGGGATAATTGCAGAAACCTCCCCTGAGGTTTTTGACACTAGCACTCACCTCCCCTATAATTTCTAAAATTGTACTAACCTCCCCTAGGAGGAAATTGGACCTATTACTAATAATAAATTGTATGATTTTACTTTTATACCCTAACTAATTGCAAAAGCCTAATGAACGAATTTTAGAAAAGCAAAATTATTTTTTGTCAACAAATTGAGTGACTAATTAAACTAGATTACCTGTGCATTTTAACATCATTAGTCATTGTAAGCAAAACTAAGGAATGGTGCCAATTGAGGGGAGAAACGGAGTATATGTTTCCATATTGTGTTCTTCAAACCAGTTAATTTAAGTTTAATTTTATACAACTGTAGAGACGAAAACCAGTAAGCAATTCTAGAGTTTCTACTAAAATAAGTATAAAGAGAACTTGCACAAATATAACTGCTCAAGTCATTTCTATTTCAAAACCTCCTCTAGTTCAGCATACTACTACTTTTCAAGCTGCTATATTTCTTTCCATTAATATAGTTATAACTCTATAATCTGGAAATATCAGCAGCAACAACAATTTTAGTACGTGATTTTAATGCACTTACTACAATTTTCATTTACTAAAGACAACTTTATCTTATTAGTATGCACTTATAATTACTTGTAACTAGGCTTATTTTATGCTCAGTAACTTTTAGTGATGTTTAAGTATACTGTTAATTAGCTAATTTTTCAACGATATTTTTTGTATATGATTGGTGCTGATAATATAAGTAGTTGTATTACCCCCACAAATAGCTATTCACATTACTAATAGAGAGTTTTAAAAGTGACGTGTATTTTTTATAAACTTTACTACAAGAACCTAGATATATAATCATTTAACTAGTCATTAATACCCATCATTGCTTCATGTATTGTTAGTAAACTTCATTCAATTGCTCTTGCACCCGTTGAATTTTACTAATTCTTAATAAATTTTCATATTTTGTCCTTTCTTTGTTAATAAAACTTGGCAAGAAGTACGAAGGGCAAATTTGGTATAAATTTCTCATCTCATTCCTTAAAAAAATTTTTTAATGGTAACTTTTTTGGTATGGACTGAATCTGCAACACAAACCTTAAGTTCAAGGGTGGTAAGTGCTATTTTCTAAACTATAAGGCAGGTGTGTGCTAGTGTCAGAAACCTCAGGGAAGGTTTATGCAATTTTCCCAAATTAGAAACGTAATCGTTTAGATCTTAACGTGTTCACGCGCGTTTAATAATAAAAAAATAAAATATTTGAATTAATTAAAGAGTATATCTTATATACACTGACAGTGTACACACTATCATACTCGGTATATGTATCATGTATCTAATAATGAAAGTGTATACACTATTAATATATGGAAAATTAATCTTTAATTAAATGGCATTTAATTTTCTAGACTAAAACTTACTCAAAAAAATAAGTTAAATTATTCATTTATCACTTAATATGATATACATTCAAGTCCATGAAATTTAGTACTTAACGATTTAATAATTTAACGGATTTAAACTTTAGATTTCAGTCCTCAAACTTCGATTTTATCAAATGCACCCATAGTTTTTGCCAAATAAATAATTAGTACATGGTACATATTTGAACTCCAAATACTATTCAGAATAAGATAGTAATATTCTAGACATTTCCAAATCAAACTCACATGATAACTTCAAGAATAAAAGAAAAGAAAATAAAATAAAATCCAACCACTGCATTAGTTGTTATCAGAAAGCTGTCTCATGTTATTTCTTGAATCATGTCATGGCCAAAAAAATTTGGACCAAATAAGAATTTAACTCCAATTTCCTCAAAAAAAAAAAAAAAAGGAATTCAACACCAAACTTTTCCAAAAGAATTATAAAAAAAAATAAAAGCAAAAAATTGATGTGTACAATGGCCTTTTGGGCCAGCATCAAAAGCCCAATGTCTGGCCTCAGTCTGGAAAAAGAACATGGGTTTCCAAATTAAGCCCATCATCTAGAAACATGTCACGTTCCGAAGTTCTTCCACGTCCGAGCCCACATACCTTTCAAGCTCTGACACCACGTCTAAATCTCCTCGCACTTCTTTCAAGACTGTTCCCAAATGAAGTGGGGGGATGTCAGGAAGACCATTTTCGTCATTTTACACCACACGACTGGTCGGCGAGATTTTCATGCCACCCACGAGGGCGGTTGGCGATCCATCCACAGACAACCAGCATAAAGGTACGTTTGGTCGAATTAAAATGTATCCTACCGGGAATGATTTTCCCGCCGATGTAGTATGTGTATATGGGACACGTCATGTTATGACACACTAAATTTTCGCACTTGGATGACACACAAAATTTTGAAAAAAAGAAAAGAAAGGTAGGTCGATTGAATTGCTATTTTTTAGAATTTTAAATTTTGAAAAAAAAGAAGGTAGCTCGATTGGATTGCTATTTTTTAGAATTTTTATAAAAAAATAATATACTATATTAATTTGATGTATATAAGATAAAAAAGTGATTAAAAATTATATTTGTAAAAAAATATAAAATTTTTGAATGAAAAATGACCTTCCAAACAAGGCATACGTAGTATGAAGTTCAAAAGACTAACAGTTAATTTCCTTCAAAAGTAAATGGCAAACAAAAATACTTTAATCACTATAAAACTCACAACAAAAGGAAGCGATGAAGCATAGAGTTAAATAATAAAAACTAATATCTATATAATTCATTTAAACTGACTTTTGGATATTGGAAGGGAAACAATTATAACACGTTCTCTGTTCAATTACAAATATTAGACAACATGAAAACGCATGTTTCAAGTTAAATGTTAATTCTCTATTTATGATTTTCAATAATTTCTTAGTTAATTTCCTTTTCATGATAGATATATAGAATTAAGTTAACGACGTTCTCATCTGAACCTAAAAAAAATTAAAGAAAAAGAAAAAGAAAAATAAACAAAATGTCGTATTTCGTAACAAAAATCCAATAGTCTCATTTTCGAGGAATTTTTTCTCTAAACAAGCGGAACAAAAAATTACTAATCCTCAAAGATTAGAAACTAGGAGTATCTTTTGATGCATGCTCATGCTCATGGTGCAACTGATAACTGATAAAGGGGGGAAATAAATATTCTCCAGTCTGACCAAACAGTACCTTTGATTGCAGTCTAGTGCTCTCAACTCACTTCACTTTTAAGTCTTACCAGTCCCCGCTTCACTGTCCCCTGCATTTCAAGTCCTCCCCTTTGGACCCCATTCCCACTTCCACTCACGCCAGTTGTCTAACGCCATTGCGCCTTACCATAAATTCATTCGTTAATACTTTTAGTAGTAATTAATTAATTATTATTAATTAATAGAGAACTACCTCTATATCTGTATGAACTTGACCGTCAATTTAAACTTCAAAATCAAAACTACAAATCCAACTTGACCAAGAAATCTTTAAAAAAAATTGAAAAAATTCTACACACTTTAGTAAAGTGTGTGGCTTTGTGTGTGTATATATATAAGCATTAAGAGAGAGAGAAAGCGTTTAGTTCACTGCTTTGCTTTGTGAGTAATGGCTTCAGGTAGAAATGGTTTTCCCAGAGGCCCGAATCTAAGGAATTCATCATCTTTCAAATCCAAGCTCCCGCCGTCGTCCGCTGTCCGCCGCAGCAGTCCTGGTGCGCTTGGCGCCGGAGCTGACGCCGGTGAGTTCCGTTCAAAAATCTTTTTTGACTCGCATTTTACTAGTCCGTTCGGTTTTATTTCTCACTTGTTTTCCTACTTTCTTGCTATATGCTTCTTTCAACTGCCTTGCTAGTGCTTGGAAGTTGAAATAGGTTAGGATCGAGTTCTTGAAATGAGGTGATCAATTTAAATGACAACTAACTTTTTTCATGTACTTTCGTATTATAGTTTTTTTTTTTTTTTTTTTGAAAAAATTTATTGACTGAGCAATTTAGGAGCTGAATCTTTAGTTGATTAGCATACATGAAGGCGATTTCGCAATGTGGCTGCAAAATATTGCCTTTCAGTTTGGAAATTTTAGGTTTAGAAATTAATGGACTCAGTCGTACTATTTCTAAGTCGGTAAGCAGCAATAAAGAGTGATTCTTTTTATACAAGTTATTCCTAGAAGACATGTCTGGCTTTGGAGAAAATATCAAGTGCAGCCACCCGAGATTATGCAGCAATGCTCATGTATGGTCGAAGTTCCTAAGTTTCTGCCAAAGCATTCCATAATTGGGGCGGCTTCATTGGGAGGTTGTTGGGCGGGGGGAAGGGGTGGGGTGGGGTTTCATATGCTGTAAAACAAGGGTGCTATAATTACCTAGAAAATTTTTCCTACATGGATATAGGTACTCGAGAAATAAATGAATTTTAGTATGTGATAAACCTAGTCTGGTCTAATTAAGATGCTGAATTTATGTGGGAGGTGAATTAGATATTAGTTGCAAAGGCATGATTTTTATATTGGCGAAAGGGAGAGATTAGATTAATATTTAGGTTAAGATAGATGATTTAGGTATGACTAAGACACTCAAACTATAAAGGTGGAAGATTTCTGCTGAAGGGTTTCTAATGTAAGTTATCAGCTGTTAACATCGGGTGTTGGTTATTTGTGATGTTTTACTAGCCTCATTGTTAAACTTGGATTGTGTAATTTATGGAACCAACTTAGTTAGATAGGCATGCAAGGTGATTCTTGGGGCTCATTTTTCTTTACAGGTGTAGATTTACTGATAGTTTACCTGTGAAAACCTCGCTTCTAAAGACAAAACTAATGCCAAGGAAGAGATGAGAAGAAACTTGTAGCAAGCTGGCTCAATTGTTTTTAAATTGTAACTAGGACATTTTATACTATGGTCAACATGCACAAGTGTGAATGATGTACTGTGACATTGATGATTTT